GCAAAAAGCTAAGTGAAACAAATAAGCGTTGTTTGAACAGGCCCCCGATAAACACGTGTTTGCCGCAGGAGGGGCTCCTGCGAGCGAGAATAAATCCTTTTATTAAATCTGTCTCGTTGTCGACGTTAGCTGGGCGCGATATTGCGGGATCAAGTGACTCCCGGGCCTAGACAAAAGCCCTAAATACATTATGACGCATGTACGGGCTAATAAACGGGGCTTTAAATGTCTCTTTATACGACTTTGTCGCTTTAATTAAATTGTCAGAGGTGATAAATCTGTTTCGATGGTAAATAGTTTATTGAATGGCGATGAGCTGGATGTGATTCGGCATGTTATACAGCGATTTTTGCTAATTGGATTAATCGTCCAATAGATTGAATATATGGATAGAGAAATAAAAATTATATGGTAATAAAACGGTTCGTTTAGCCCCGCAAGTGCCGTGACCGACTAAGGGTTGAAACAATGTGAGGAAAAAAACAGTTGTCTTTAGGGATTAATAAATCGTTTATCATCCATAAACGTACGCCATAAATTTTCTTATATACTCCTTTCGTTTGCTTTAGTTACTCGATTAATTGATAACACATGATTACTTATTATCTATACAGGAAATCTTCTAAGATTATTGTTACTTACACAATGACTAACAAATTTCCTCTGCACTCAAATTAATATTACATTATATTATCAAAGTTGCGCTCATGAAATCCACCCCCTATAAACGATGGGTAGGTATAATTGTCCTGTTTACAGCACCAAATACTTATCTACTCCAAATAGAAACCAGCTGATTGAACTTTAATATTTCTGCTCCACCACCTGCTTTTCATAATTCCCTCTCCCCTTTGACGCTCTTCACGAAATATTTCACGAACCCAAACGCGTATAATTACAACATTGTGAATCATCGGGACGTCTGATTTTTTCGCTTTAATTAAAATTATTTTGTAACCATCACCTGCGCCGATGTTTCGGGTACGGTTCGATGGAAATAGCCGCGTACGTGGCTTGCGCGACCTTGGAATAAAAAAGTATCGCTACACCATTCAAAACGGATTTTTTTCGAGATGAAAATCCGCGATAGAAATGTCCCTATAAAGTTCGCGTGCCTCGTTCGAAACTACCTATGTAATTTCATCGGAGATACGCGTGCAGGCGATCCTTGTCATCGATATAAATGTATCGCCGAAATTCCATTAAGACAACCGAGTCACGTGGCGGACGGCGTGTCTTTTGTGCCACTTTGCGGAAAACACAGTTAATATTTTCCTCGTTTATTGTCGTTAGAAATATACATACATCAAGCGGGAGAGATAACGATTTATTTCGTATACAATGGGAAACGCCACGATATGCTTTTTTTTTCCCTCTGTTACATGAAAAACGCATAAAATTCGATATCTGCTAATAACTTACTTAATTCGAATGAATACATTATAATAGCAAAATATTATACTTTTTAAAACAAAATTGTATAGATCTCTGGTTAAATTTCTACCGGTTCGAATATCGATTTTAAAATAAAATAAACAAGCGGTATTAAATTTTTGCTTGATATAGCCGTAGAGAATTGATTGCCGTCGTCGCGAGGAGACTGGAGATATTTATTCGGAGTTTTCCGGGGATGACGGTCTGGAACTACTGGATATTCGAGTCCGGAAATATGGCCGTGATTTGCTTCCACTTCCTGTTAAACTTTGCGAATATTTCACTATTATTTACGCTCACAATGCAAAACGGATGGCTGCGTTCTTTGTTACGCTCCGCTTTTTTCGACCCTGTGCACTGGGCCCGCTCCGAATCCGCTCATCCAGAGCTGGATCGAAGGGAAACCCCTTATTCATCTTAAGTAACATCGACCGGTTTAAAATTGAGTCGACAATCGGACGAACCGTTGAAGACTCGGTGATGAAATTAACGACTAATAGACGGGAAAAATCGATGTTAATGTTAATTTCCTGGTGCTCGCACTCGGCTATCGATTTTCAATTTGCGCCTAAACCTCCTTCCTGGCAGGCAACGTGCCATCAACTCTTTATTACGTGTGTGATTTTATAATGCACGTGCGCCCAACCGGCAAACAGAACAATAGAGACGTAAATGGATACCGAACATCAATCAAACAGCACCGGGGGGGAGAGGGAAAATGTTTACTGTGCAATACATAAAATAGGAGAAACGAAAAGTTGCTCGAAATACAACGAATTTTGCCTTAAAACTAGTTAGCAATTTATAGCTTTTACTGTCTTTAAACTCGAACGATCATTCACGCTATGTACCTTCGAGCCCTTCGTTGGGCATTAAATGGGGTAAATTACAATAAAATGATGATTGAGCGGAGCACCGGCTGCGACCGCGAGTCTAGTTCCCACAATAATTTTAATATCTAATAAAATATCTGTTCAGTGTTTGTTCGATAGACGGTGCAATGATACCAGAAACACACTGTAAAGCCGCGGAATAATTCGCTCCTGCGAAACAAACGGGAAAAATTAAAAAAAAAATCGGATTCGTGAATGCGATCGGTCGTGAAATCCTCCAACGAATTTCATTAGAAACGCCACAATGGTGGTATTTTTTGCGCGCCCGATTTCTCCGGATCTCTTTATTATTCCCGTTTCCATTGAACGATGTACAAGCAATCAAAGCATAATAAGCTTGTTATTGATGTGTTGGTAACAAACGTGTATCAATTCTACTACACAATCGTCACTAAATATTTGGAAAGCCCTTAGAAAACCGTCCTAAATCCTGATTGGCAGAATTGATTCTCGCTTTTCCCTTACTAAAGGGATACCCGGATTAGTGTCTTTTAGCGCACACACTGACAAATTGTCTACCATAATGGTCGCTTTTATGGTCTCACACCTCCGGCCCTACCGAATAAAATCTCACCTATACGAGGGGTCGCGCGAAAATAACTCGATATATTTTCCCATCGAATCACCAGCAACAACACGATTTATGCACAACAATCGATTGATTACAATCAAAATAGTTTATAAACATTAAGAAAATAACGTATACGCGCTGATTAGATAGTAAAAACGATTGTTTTCGTACAATTTCACGGTTCCCTCGTAGCCAAACGAGGGCCACGGTTGATTTCAGGTAGACGCGGACTACATTGTAACGACAGGGAGTCTTTGAAGGGCAATTGAGCGTGAATCGTCGATCCCGCCTTTAACATTTCATATAGATTCGCCGACGTTTATCGGGATTTACTCAACACCGGAAACGAACCGTTTACAAACCGCTTTACACCCATGCCCTTTATCCGTTTCGCACTCTCGCTTCCTTTCCATCGACGCGACTTTCACGCCAACTTCTTCTACGGCTCGATGGGTGTAACAGCGGACGCGACCTGCGCGAGAACTCTCGCGAGAAATAGAGCGCCGCGCATATCGCGAAAGCGGAGCAATATACGGGGGGAAATTAACCGGTCGTTTTCGATTAGAGCAAAAGCGGAGCAACACGGGGGAAATTAACCAGTAAACCAGTCATTTTCGATTAGATCGCTTGCTGTTTCATTGCGCGTAACGAGCTCAGGAATAATTGTCCAGCGGATCCCAAACAAACGGGGCGACACGCGCCGGTCGGGTGCGCCTCGATCGGCCCTACGGGATGCGTGTGAAATGTCATCGCGACGCCTAACCGGGCGTCGCGCGCTTATTTACCTCGGCGTCGGGAAAACTCGACGGCTCGTTAAAAAAAGGCGCGTCCTGTTTGATGTTTGCTCAAGCTAAAAGTCAAATTTTCGCTTATGCAATTAGGCTGTCCCCTCGAAATTACACGCCGGTTATTTAAACAATTTCAACTACCCTCGTAAATGAGGATACGAATTTTCTAGATGGTTAGAATGCACCAATTTCCCTGTAAGATAATACAGTAAGGTAGACTGGGGCAAATGTAAGAAATGGGGTAAATGTAATATTTTTACCTATTATGTTAATGTTTTTATTATTTTTATAGTTCCTTGGTGCATTAGACAGGGTTTGTTTCTTATTTTTTCTTTATTATTTTGTAGCTCTGTTATTTTTTGAAATAAATAAATAAACAGCATATCAAATTTTAGAGGAACCAAATATTTTTTTTACAATTGCCCCATATGTTTTTCTATATAATTGTATTGCACTTTAGAACAGTTAGTTACATCCTCCTTTTTCAAAAAAACTTTTTAATACCTCGATTCTTTAGTTTAGGAAGTTGTGAATGTAATGTGGTATCAGCATTTCTAATAAGAGAAAAAATAAAGCCACATTTTAGTATTCAATTTGAACTATTCAAATTTTACAACCGATTTACACCAGTCTACTTTACATCGCTTTTTGCGCGATGAACTGTAACATGTTTATTCATCGAGGAAGTTAATAATCGAAGAACGTAAACCTCGAATTTTACAACGATGGGTATTAGAGAGCGAAAATGAGACGGGGGTGCCCCCACGAAAGCGAATAATAAAAAAAAGATATAACATACCATGCGAACGAGCCTCCCCTACGTTGAGGCCGATTCGCAGAGTCTATTAGGAGCGAAAAGGGATTGTCTCGACAACTCTAATGAAAATAAATTACCTCTAAAAAGACTTTATAAAGCCTAGTTGGATGAAAACGAAAACGGAATACATCACGCACTAAACGCGCAATGCTATCAGCGTTTTCTCTTTTGAAAAAGAACTGATGGGTTAGATTTTCCTTTTCGATTTACTACAACAAAATATTTCCTTTTTCTAATAATAATAGCAAAATGTAACGTAATTGTTTTATGAAATTTTCTGTATAAATAAACCATTTTTTGAGAATTTCACAATCGAATAAAATATTTTGTACCTAATCAGTTTTGATTGATTATTAAAACGCCGATAAAATGCTAATTAAATAAACGCAAAACATACATTGAAAAATCGAAAATAAATTCCGAAACCTTGAATAGTATCTACAGGTATTAAATTTCAGATAACATTTTAACAATTTTGAAAATATGTCGATTAATTCTACTTCTACTTCGAAATATTCGTTCGTTTGGAAGTTGTTATTATTTGATCAGTTTGTAAATTGTTGGCAAGGGAATGGGTTTATAGACATCGGGGCCCCATTTTTCTAGACGCATCTGGGGATTATTCGCTACATAACCGTATAGGTGGTTCGATGAAAGTGGATACCTTCCTAATTCCCGCCTATCTATCTCAGGTTCTCCTTGGATGCGCTTCAGCATTTGAGAATTCGCGGTTAATTCGTGCAATTTTTCTTGCAGAGCTCTACGAACGTTGCTTAATGAATATGAAATGTAAAGAAAATAAAATTTTACTTGTATTCGGTTTTGATGAAGCTCCAACGGTAATCGTAATTTTTAACCACTTTCCAATCGCTTTCCACGAAGTTCTTCCATGCCATATCAATTTCCACATAATTTAGAAGTAGTTTTTTCTTTTTTCCTACTATACTCGTCATTTTTAATGAATGATTTTACCCCAAAGACCCCAACACAAAAATCTACTTTAACTATTTAATGTCAATTTGACAGCAACTCTTACTTTATAGTTAGGCAATCATTTTAACGCGACTGTAATGTGAGTTGCCTAACCATTTGATGCCTTTTCTCATACTTTTATTCAGTTATGTGTCAAACATTTTGACAATTCAATTGTCAAAAAGAAATAGGTTAAGTTCGCAAACCAATCAAATGTTGACAACAAATGGGATTTAAGAATTTACTCAGAGTTTGTCGATAAAATTCACTTTATTTTAACGTTTGGACGGTTAAAGTTCAGGCGAAGGTAAAATTAGTGATTCTATTTCAGATAATGCGATTTTTCTGCTGAAAGAAATGAATTCCACGGCTTTCGAGTATTTTAGAACGGCGGCTTCGCTGGTTTTCACGCCGCAATGTTTCGACAATTACTTTTTTGATTTCAATTACTTAGATGGTGAGTAAATTACAACTAAAATTTCATTTTTCACTTACCATTCAACATTAATAACTGGCTCCTGTTCCAGTTCCATGTTTCAAGTCGAGCTTAAGCAAGGCTTTAGGACTGCTGATTATCCTGGGCTCGCTAACAGTGAGGGTGCCTCAGATCGTGAAAATTTACAATAACCAGAGCGGAAAAGGCATTAACATAGTCGCAGTAACGCTAGATTTGAGCGCCATTACGATTTACATGGCATACAGCTTCATAAAAGGGTTCCCGTTCAGCGCTTGGGGCGACGCGACATTCTTGGCTGTACAAACAGTAATCGTGGGAGCTTTAGTGTTGTATTACGAAAGCAGCCAAACGAAAGCTATCTCTTACTTATTAGGGTATCTAGTAGTTTGTTACGTAATGCTATCTGGATTGACTCCGCTGAATGTTTTGTGGTCTTTGCAGACTTTTAACATACTTTTAGTAATCTTCGGCAAGCTCACGCAGGCTTGGACGAATTATAATAACGGGCATACCGGTCAATTATCGGCCATCACTCTGTTTATGCTGCTGGGAGGTTCTGTAGCTAGGATATTTACTTCGATGCAGGAGACGGGAGATAACGTGGTGATTATGACGTATATTTCTTCTGCTTCGGCTAATTTCGTTTTAGTTTTACAATTGTGGTGGTACTGGAACGTTGATATTAAGGAGAAATCCGAATAAACTAGTTATAGTTTTAGAAATACGAGTGACTTTTGTAATTATTACATCATTGGGTTATGTATTGCGATAATGGTAGCTCCAATAAAATGTTTTTGATGTAATGATTTGTTAGTATTTCCTTTGGGTGTTTGTAATAAGGAAGGTGTATAACAAGAAACATCGGTTTGTAACATTTGAAGATTTAATATTTGTAATTTTCAACAATGCTATGTCTAATAGCAGAATCTAAAAAATAAACTAAAATTCATTGTTATAAACACTAATAGCGTTTCATGAACAATAACACTGTACAGAAGGATAATGTGAAAATGCTTTTTAAGATCACATGTTTATCTTACATTCCAGTCCTTCAAGAAGGTATCTTTTCGAAGTACAAAATTGACCATAATTCTTTACAATCTCACAATATTTCATATGATAAAAGTTATACACAAATTCTGTAAGCATTTTTTTTGTAGTTTTAGCTAGAAAAATGATTGTTTCCTCAGTCTAATTGCAATCTATTAACCGGCATTGACAAAGAGATACAATCTTTAAGGACGAAATTCGCTTTCCAGAAAGAAATTCGTGTGGCAAAGGATGAATCATCCCAACTAACTAAACTGTACTGAACAGTAAATAACACTTACAAGAAGACTTATAATGAATTCATATACGATAATAATTCAGCACGTTTACCATTTAGAGAATATAAATAAAAATAACTGATCGATTGCATACAATTAATAGAAATATAATTTACATCGCGTGTAGTAGGAAAAGCTTCGTGAAATCGCTGCTTACAGAATTATTATGTTTACATTAGTATGATACAGCCAAAAAAGTATAATTTTATAAGTCTCATATCGCTTAATTTAGCATTTTTGAAATTTTAGAAACGAAATTAGAGAGAGATTCGTCAGCGATACGAAATGTTAACGTTTTGAGATCACAATAACATTTATATTTAAACTGTTTTACACGACGATTCACTTAATATTAAAACGCATTCTCGCAAATAGTATAGTCTACAAATAGGTTACAAATACAAGAAACAATCAGACCGAAGTGAAGTCAAATTTCTACAAAATTATGCTCGAATATTAGAGAACAAACTGTTCAGTCATAAAACCTAATCCGCCTGTGTCTTTCCAGGAAATCGGAAACCAACTTCAGTTCCAGTTTAATTCAATTTCGCGTATATTGCGGCAATTAATTACCAATTAAGCACTCTGTTAAATCGAAGTAACTTCTGTCTTAGGTACTTGGCATTATAAGTTTTCTCAAAATATGCCACGTAGGAACATTCTCAATAGTTTGAACTTTACTTTTACTTGCCTGTGAGAAAACTTATAATAAGTATATTTTATGATTACTAAAGATATACGCTTTGTTTGTAAGTATAAGAAGAAATTACCAGTCAAAACAAAACAATCTTAATCTTAAAAAATCTATTGGACTGTCAGTAATAAATCACCCCAAAATATTTTACAATTTGTCAATTTTCAACGTCACGAAATTCTACAGGTAAAACATTTCCTCCGAATATTCCCGGTTCTCCGTAGGTCAACAGAAAATAAAAACGTGTTTAAAAACAATAAATAAAAAGTAAAAATACGTTGCTAGTGTATCTTAAAAATCACATGCTCTAGTAGCTTAAATTACTGCACTTCTATGAGGAAAAAAACTGCGCCGCATTCGCAGCACCCCTCCAGCCCGGCTACGATTTATTGTCACCAACTGAAAATAAAATCACACCGTTTTACACGCAAGACAATCTCTAATTCATCGCACTTACGGTGCCCTTCCGTTAAGTTGCTCTTCGCATCGACGGTCGACGAATCGCTGTTGTCGTTGTTGTTGCCGCCCTCCTGGCCGGAGCACTCCTCTCGCAGCCGCAGCGCCACCTCGAGGTCCATCAGTATCTCCGTCTCCTTGGGCTCGATCAGCGAGAACCGGTGGTGGAGCTCCGTCAGATGGGCGAACGTCAGGTTGAGGTGCGCGTGCAGGCCCAGCAACACCACCTCCTTGAAATGCGCCGCGTACAAATGCGCCACCACGTGGAACAACAATCGCACTATCTTCCTCACTATTGACTCAAACGACGAGGGAAATTCATTCGCTGCAAATCCAATTTAATCTATTATAGTATCATATTAATTGGGGTAGTTCATACGTACCGTATTTCGTAGGAAAAATAGTTTCGTCTCCGATGGTTTTTTGGATAAATGTCATTACGTAATCTATGTATTGGGGTGCGGCCACTTTGGTTTTTTTACCTTTCTCGTCGAACCATAAATATATTCTGCAATCGAAAATTATTTAATCGAGTACGATCGATTAGTGTTATACTCTATTTAAAAACTATGAGGAGCGATTTGAATTTAAGTTGGCAACACTCGCGTTTGTTTATTGGTTAATTACTAATCAAGTTCACGCTGGAAAACTTTCTTATTCTTGTTTACCACCTTTTTGAGGTTATGTTTTAGAAATGTAGTAAGTTTTTAGGTGATTTGTTAATTCATTCCTTCTTTTAATACAATCATTGCGAGTTTACACTCAATTTTATTTAAATACAAGATGTGTATTTAAATTTGCAGGCTTGCAAATTTTCTAGTAACTTTGTTGGGTGTAAATCTGGCTTTTCAAAATGCTCCTAGTTTTTAAATAGAGTTAATAGAGTATAGTGATAATTACCTCTGGCCTGGACCGGTCATGTCTGGACAACCTACGGGGGTACAAAATTCGCTAACCGTACCATAAACTAAATTTACGTGATCGAATAGAGCCATTGCTAGAAATAACAAACGTTTTTAAACTCATCGTAGAGTATTAAAGTCATACTTACTATGCGATGCTAGCCATTCGTTATAATCTAAACCGGGTGGTAGATCCACCAAAAGTCTCATGTCGATTTCCGGTAGTTTTCTTTCTAAAACGGTGGATTCTAAGTACAATTTCGAATCTGTCGATGCCGATGCATCCGGGCCTTCTTTCTCTTTGCGTCTTGCTTTCCTATAAAGTTACATACAAAGATTAAATACAATTAATTATCTAATTAAGGTCATATTAAGTGATTAGGTTAATATGAAATCAATAGGAAGGTTCCAATGGTGCCCCTCGATTCTAATAGATTAGCACCTAAAAGCGAATACAATAAATCGCTGTAAATAAGTTCAAGGTTGTGTAGAAAATTGATAAACCTTATACGAATGTTTTATACAAGGAAATACATGTTTCCTATAGGATAACTACTAGTTTTGATTACATTAATAATTTCGTCTCGTATTTTGTGTTGTTTGATTCCAATTAAGCAAGATTTCACAATAAAAATGACCTTGCAGAAGATACATTTCATTTCACCCTTCTTTATTTTTCAATAATAAAAAAATACTACAATCTTATCTCGGTGTTTGAGTTTAACGAAGAAATCGTAAGAGAGTAAACACAAAACCTACGCGAGTTGATGATGATAATAATAATAACAAATAGATTCATTGTTCACGTTTATTTGTATTTCTTGTAAGGAATATATGCTCACCCTATGAACCAGTCCACGGTATCGCGGAGATACTCTGGTAAACGCTCCAGTTTGATAAAATGTGCTCGGATCCAAACGAAAATTAATGAAATTGCCCACTCGAACCTTCGCAAATAATAGCTCAGCTGATGTCCAGAAACCAGGATAATTCAAAACCTTACACTATATCACGCACTATTAATTTTAGAGTAATTATTTATCCTTCGGTGCTATCGAAGCGTTTCGATTTTTTTAATTTACTGCAAAATGTAAATCAAATCATTGTTTGAAGTGATTTTTATTATTTGAAAAATGAAGTCATCACTGTCAATTTGCCAGCAAGTGCCAGTCAATGCAACACCAAACACAGCGACCTAAAGTAAACCTAGAACATAAACTAAACTAGGCTTAAAGAAGCCTATCCCTATTGTTTCTTCTTTCTATCACTGGTGAACTTGTCATATAATAATATGCAGTCAGTTGGTCAATAAAAAGTAGCAAGAATAGGACTTAGTAAAAGACCGCAGATACGATAAAAAAGAAGAGTAAAATGTCAAAACTAGCAGGCGTTGCCAAATTGTTTCTGAATTCTGAAATATTTATAATTTCAAAGTTATTATACGGGGTGTAGGCATTAATTGACAATTTATACAAAAAATTTTTAATAAAAATAATATTACACCTTTGGACCTACTAAAACAAAAAAAAGCATTCTATATATTGATTTCAATAAAATAGTTCATCATCTACGGACAGCACAAGTACTCGATAAGCGATCTATAAATTTAAAAATTCCCGTAAGAGCCTCTTCCAGCATTTCCACATAATTTTAAAACTGGACAGAATTCAAATTATCCGAAACACAAAATGCACAATCTAATTTTACAATACAGGTAAAAAATATATCAAAAATTATTGGATATGTGTCCAAGCCTCTTTAAAAGTTTTGATTTACCAGATTGGCACAATTAAATATTATTCACTGTGCGTTCGATGGAGATTACGGACAAATTACATCTATAAAATACAATTAAAAAAATGAATTTTCTTAACCTTTTAAAGACGAGAGAAAACTTAAAGAATTGAACATTCTGTAGAAATCAAAAGTAAATTCATTTTTCGTGCAGTTAAGTACATGAAGACAGTAAAATCTAAAAATATATATCGATACAGAAAAAATCTAAAGTCAAAACAATTTAGTTAATGCTAATTAACTCAGTAATTTTTCTTTATAGTCATCATCCCGACTATTCGAGGATAATAATGAACAAGAGATTGCAAATATAAAAAAATAGATTCCCATTGGTGTGTGAGTGTGTAAAAATTTTGTTCAGTAAAACCTCTAATATATCAAATAATTACAACCGATTTCATTAGAGTTCAAAATCAACATACATAGTTAAATAGAGTAAATAAAAGTATTCTTAATACTAAAAGATAATCTCGCATTTTTCAAAAATAAGAGAATTCAATTTTAAAAGTAGCACCTTCAAAGAAATATAAGCAGAATTCCAACATTTTGTTTTAACTTGAGATTTATAAACCATGAATATACAAAGTATGCAAGTATGTGTGGCAGCTTTATAATTTGATTTATCATAAAAACAACATTCCTTTCTGACCGATTCCGATAATAAAAGAATGCTAATCTCAAACACTTTGCTCAATCACAAATTGGAAATTTTAAGAACCGAAAATAAATTCTTAACTTAACTCAGTCGCTGAACAAATAAATTAGAGAAAATTAACATTGAAATAACTAAAATATAGTCGTCGTTTTAAGCCATTAATAATTGCCGGATTTCAGTGTTTTCAGTCGATTCCAAGTAGGTTTTACCGTCAGGGGCCACTCCGTCTTTTTTCGCCCCCTTTTCTAACAACAACTTCACGCAGTCCTTGTGACCCTCCCATATCGCAGCTAAGATAGCGGTTATTCCAAACTTGTCCTTCGTCTAAAATACACACCGATTTTAACACATCGAATAATTTAATAAAACTAACAGTATCAACCCAGCAAAATGCTAATTAATAACAGGTCGTCGTGATGATTAATTGAATAATTAATTAGGGAACTTACATTCACATCGGCTCCGGCTGATATAAGGTACCTTATAACGTCTGCCTGGCCGTAATCTGCGGCATATAGAATAAGAGGACGCCCCTGAACTTCTTCGTTAACATTTACAGCCTATAATTTAATACCAGCCATTGCAAGGCGAATTCGATTGTATTACGATTAGAAAATACGCACCTTTTTTTCTATGATATCTTTTACTTGCTCCAGATCGCCGTTCTTAATAGCCCACACGAAATCGCTGCTCATTTTTGGTAAATAACTCGAAATAACTTCGTAATCGCTTTTGCAACAAGAGACTTCGCTAACGTAGAAAATGACAGAAATGACAGTTGTGGGGACTAGCATCTGACAGTTAGGAGTCGATGAGTTAGCTAGTCGGCCATTGTAAATAGCCTAACTTAAAAGAAGAATATATGAAAAGAGAAGAAAATTTGTTTGTTTGGCTGTTTGCGCTTGCCTTTTTTAGGTTATAATAGAAATCATAATTTGTTTCTCTGTATCATTTATTTAAAAATGGCTTCAGGACTGGATTCCTTTGTAAACCGTATCCTTTTTAAAACTTTCATAAATCTTACACATTTAAATATGTTATTTTCTTTAATAACTTTTCAGATACCGTTTCCATAATAACCTCCGATGGAAGAAACTTCATAGTGAGTAAAATGAATAGAATAAGTACGGTTTCGTTAATTTAATTCTTTTTAGGGTACACTCAAAGGTTTCGATCAAACGATTAATATAATTTTAGATGAATCTCACGAAAGGGTATATTCAACAACAACTGGTGTAGAGCAAGTAATGCTCGGATTGCATATTATAAGAGGAGATAATGTGTAAGTAATACGCTTAGAGGCCAAGTTGTTTGTTATATTAAAACTATATTTCTCTTTTAGAGCGTTAATTGGACTTATAGACGAAGAAATAGACAATAGGTTGAATTTATCGAGCATTAAAGCTGAACCTTTAAACCCTGTTGTACATTAAAAAATAAGGCTTAAGTTATATTAAATATAAGATAATTTGTAAATAAGTGTTTGTCTAAAAAGAAAAAGCAAAACTCATGATTTCGCTGTTAAAAAAGTACAAAATTCATTAAGAACTGGTTGTCTTTAAGAAGGAGGCCAAAAAACAAGAAGAATTTGACAGTTAAAAACAAACTAACCTAAAGTTATTTGTTGTTATTTTTTAGTTTTAGTGAATTTCAAAAAAAAAGTAATTCGAATAGTTCTCTCTCATTTAACTTGAAATTCACTGAGAACCAAGCATGGATAGCGATGATCCCATGGAAATAGACGATCTAACACCCAATACTGTGATAATAGAACGTAAAATTGATGAAACTGGACCGGCTCCAGCCAATACTGGTAATTTAAATCCGAACATTCCATCGGATTCAACGAGCACTGATAATAAATCAAATGCAGAAAGTTCTAATGTGGTTGTTTTACTTGATGATGATGAGGAGAACGTACAGCAAAATAAAGGAGCATTACCCAAGTCTACTAGTGGTAAATCATTTTATACTCTAGCTAAATTTTTCATTGGATAAACATTAAAATTTATACCTATTTTCAGCCCCAATTAAAAATGAAACATCAGCATCGTGTCAGGATATCATCGATCTTGTAGAGAAGCGAAACGTCCGATGCTTGAACAGTAATTGTACGAGTGGTGACACAAATTTTTTCCTAGCATCAGATTTCTGCCTTTCGTTCTATCGAGTCAAACGATCTAAGAGCTACAAAGAAGAAATATGCCAGGTGTGTGAAATTTACATTAAAAATCGAATAAAAAACTCTAAATTAAAAATGTTTTAATCCAGGAGTGTTATAAAGCAGCTGTGGATGTTTTCGATGATTTGACTACGACGTTAAAAAGTGGAAATTCGATAACCGAATGCCCCTATCCCATTATAAACGAAACAGTTCAGATAGAAGACAGCGATGAAGAAGAGGAGATCGACGAGAAAGAAAAGGAATACCTGGATCCGGAGAATTTCAAATTCCTGAAAGAAAACATCGATAGCATATTCGATGAGGTTTTGGCCAGATACGACATCAACGAACAGTGGAATATGGCGATTAAATATCTAGGAGAGCAAGCTTGCGAATTGACAGGTACACGATGGGAAACCCAAATACTCTTAACATTCCTATAGATTGCTCGTAATCACGTCGAATTTTTTTCCAATTTTTTTTAGAAGAAACCGATAAATTAACTGGAGAAATGTCTGAAATAAGAAATGGTTTAGATAAAATCCAAATGGATCTGTACAACCATTTCAGACCGGAATACAATAACATTACGCCGATTTCAATTGTTGACGATTGTAATTTTCAACACATTTTAATCGACAACACAGGTAACTTATTACTCTATCGAAAGAAAATTTCTAAATTCCCTCTTTTATCAGATTCATTTGATGCTAGTCAGAGGAAGAGCAGGAGATCTCACAAGCCCGTTTCGTACATCGAACTAGACGAGCCCAGCAACTCGAACAGTCCCAAAGTGGTTAATCCTACAGCGGAAATCGAACCTCCAAAAGATTTACCTCAAATAATGCCTTTGGTTCGGACTTCTCCGATAATCGGTTCGCTTAACACTTTCACCTGTTATGACCAGTTAATTTTTGAACGCTTTTTAGGCGAGTACTACTACATCGTTCGAGAGAACACCCGAAGTAATTGGATAAGAGGTCGATTGCAACACGTAATAAACCCGGGTACAATCTACAACGGTCAAATGTACACCACGGTTCATTATAAACTCGTCGAATTGAAGCAGCAAAAGGAACGTATAGTGACTGCGAAGCAAATGGCCTTTTGGGAACCGAGCAAAGTCAGCCTGCCCGTCGGCACGAGAGTTATATCGGCGTTCAAAGAAACCGGCATCAGTCCCAACGTTAAAAAACCCAAACTGGACCCTTACTATGCAGGAGTCGTGGCCGAGCAACCGTTCGAGGGAAACAGATATAGGTAAACCGGTGAGATTAATTTCCCATACAGTTTTAACCGGTCTATTTCAAGATACTTGATATTCTTCGACATCGGTTATTCTCAGTACGTTAGCTACAACAACGTGAATTTAGTGCTCGATTCGAGCCAGAACGTTTGGGAGGACATCTACGAAGACTCCAAATCGTTTATTAAAAAATACCTAGAAAGCCAGGACAGGCCTATGGTGAAGCTAGCGAAGAATCAAACAGTCCGAGTCGAATACAGCGGTAGATTAATCACATAATTACCACGTAATTTTTCGTATATATTTGTAACTTATAGGAAAATGGTGGTTGTGTACTGTCAACGACGTCGATTGTTCGTTGGTTCAAGTCATCTTCGAAACCCTCCAGCGCATGGAATGGATATACAGGGGCTCGACAAGACTGAGTCCAATGTTCAAGGAGGAACAAGCCGCCACGAATCGATCCACAGGTGTTAGAACTTCCAGGAAATTGCGCCCTGTAAGTGTACCAAAACACTTAGAGAGAGATTCTTGTTAACCGTAGGGTACTTTTCAGAACGAGTCGCAGACTGTGGTTCAATACCAAAGAAAGGACGATTTTATATCTTCAAACGAAAACCAGGATTCTCCTACGAACGTTAGAGCTGTCGCGAGGAAAAGCACCACGAGGCCCCAGGCGAACATGCAAATCGAAGGAGCCGTGCCGTTTCTACCGCAGGTTAAGGAGCCTTTCGTGAACGCCACCGGGCCTACCAGTAAAATAATGGTAGCGACAGTTTTTAAGAAGGTTCTTTGCATATCTCTGATCGCTCTATTTGCAGTACTTCACGCCGAGGGATCAAGTGATCATAAGGAGACAGTACAAGCCTCACACGTGCGGCCCGAAATGCAGGGAATTCCTCACGCACGATTTCCACCAACTTCGCGGGCAAAATCCTTTATCTAAACCACTGCTGTGCGGATGGGGCCGGATTACTGGCAAGGCCAAAGGAAGAAAAGAAATACTTTACAAGGTAAAATGGTTGTTATGTCTATCTTCTCAGTCTTTCTCGGTCCACTGCTGAACTTGTACTCCTCACAATTTGATACTTAATTCTGTAACCAGGCTCCTTGCGGGAGAATACTCCGGAATATAGCAGAAGTCCATTACTACCTAAGAATCACCAACAGCGAGATGACTGTAGATTTGTTCGATTTCAATCACACTGTTAGGTGTTTAGCTGAATTCAGCGTCGATTGTAATCCGGATCCCAAAGACTTATCTCGAGGTAAACATACAAATAGTCTTTCTAAAGTCAACACAATCTGAATCTGCGAATTGGATCGTTTTAACAAACGTTTTATTCAGGCACGGAGCAAGTTCCTATTCCCGTCATAAACGGCATTAACAACGAGATGCTGGATTTTTGCAACTATTCGATAAAAAGGGTGCCGATGGAGGGCGTCCATATGAATTTGGACAAGGAGTTTTTGTGCGGTTGCGATTGCGAGGACGATTGTATCGTAGGTTACTCGTTAAATTCACCATTACAATACTTAATTAACGTATTTTGTTAGGATAAAACCAAATGTTCCTGTTGGAAATTAACGTTAGAAGGTGCTAAATACATTGGAAAAGACATCGATCCCAACTCGGTGGGTTACATTTACAGAAGGCTTCCCGAACAAGTTATAACTGGAATATACGAGTGTAATTCTAGGTAAGATATTTGCAATTTCAAGTGTAGTAGATGCATTTAATTTGTAATTTTAGGTGTAAATGTACAGCTACATGTCTAAATAGAGTAGTACAAAACCCCATGAATCTCAAACTGCAAGTATTTAGAACTCTCACGCGTGGTTGGGGAATAAGATGTTTAAACGACGTTCCTCAAGGCACTTTTATTTGCATTTACGCCGGTACAATCCACACCGAAGCCATGGCTAACGAGGTAAATTTTCGAGTGTTCAAAAAACTTTTTATTCACTGTATTTTTTGTAGGACGGAATGGCGTACGGAGACGAATACTTCGCAGAACTGGACTACATAGAAACCGTGGAGAAATTCAAGGAGGACTACGAAGCGGAGGCGATCGAAGACGACGAAGACGAAGAGGAGAAGCGAAGGGCTCAGAGAAAGATCGAGGAGGACGAGGACGATTCGATGTTGAGGAAAACCGGCGGAAGCGGCAAAAAAAGGAACAGTTATTCGGATGATAACGATTTTACGCCCAGTCATCCCGGTCGTCATCCCACCAGCGAATCGCGAATAACGTAAATTCACTTGAATTGAACTAAAATTTTAATTTATCGAGTGCGTTTTAGGACGAGATTGCGACGTCGGAACCAAGAAGACGATAAAGCGAACAACGAAAATGATAATAAAAAACCCGAAGCGGATGTTAAAATAAAAAAGGAAATTATAGAAGACAAATCCGAATTGAAATCTACATTCAAAGGATTCCCCGATTGTACGGAAACTGTCACTATCAGCGACGAAGAAGATGGTTTGTTTATTTATATAAATTGTTTGCAATTTGGTCAAATCTATGAGTTGGACAAAGATACCAAAATAACAGTGGTTAGAGCGAGAAAGTTACAACCCTTTTCTTGTATGAGACTAATATAAGTTTTCTTTGCTGTCCATATTTCAAACAATTTTGCACCTACCTTTATATAAATTTTTCTTATATTTCCTGTGCTCTTTTAGAGGGTCGTGAAGTATTAAGTTTCAACCCTAAAGCGAGCGAGCCGGACGAAAAGGGCCCCGCTCAAATATCGCTAAGAGAGCTCTTCGGAGAGGAAGAATCCGTTTACGTAATGGACGCTAAAAATGCAGGAAACATCGGGCGATTTTTAAACGTAAAATTCCCCTTTAATCGCTTCTTTCAAACGAATTAATCGATGGTTTATTTTATTTCAGCATTCCTGCTCTCCGAACGTATTCGTGCAAAACGTTTTCGTCGACACCCACGACCCGCGCTTCCCTTGGGTGTCCTTCTTCTCGTCCCAATTTATCAGAGCCGGAACGGAGCTCACGTGGAATTATAATTACGATATCGGAAGCGTACCCGGCCGGGTGTTGTACTGCCATTGCTCCTCGTTGGAATGCAAAGGGCGATTATTGTAATGTTTTCTATTGAAGTATCATACTTTAGGCAATTCTTAATAATATTCAATCTAAACAGCTCCACAAAAATTAAGGAAGTTCGAAAATTTTGCGATTATTTTAAAAGCTAGACTTTTTGGTCACCAAATTTTCAAATATGCGAAATTAAATGTTTCCTCTCATATCCGAGTGAATTTTTTGTCCCTACCTCTACAACTCATACTAAATTTGGCGATCAAAAAACCTGCAACTTTTAAATTAATCTCAATATTTGTGAACTTCCTTAACTTTTGTGGAGCAGTATATATTAGTTACCTTTTAGTAACAATGTAGCATGTATGAATTTATAAACTATCGTAATAAAATAAGAACGAAGTGAGAACACATTTTATTCCATTACTATTGACATGTTATCTATTTTACAATCGAATAAAATTTAATAAAGATAACTCGTTAAAAATCTTCATATATACACCACTTAATTAACATAAATATCACACACACGTACATAATATACAAAATCAGCCGGGGTAAAAAGCTCTACCGGGTCCTAAAAAAATATACGATTGCTGTATATATGAAGGTTACGTGACAAATGAAATTAAAACGTGTGAACTTAATATAATAACTTGTTGTAATAATTTAAATGTTTACCGGATAACCGGTAAACTAAACAAAGCGATTGTTTCAGTCTTCAAAATAAAATTTTGACTATATTAAACTAAAAACTATTGTCGGAAAATACTTTCTTTTTTACAGGCCGCCGCAACGGCAAATCCCTTTCTAATCCGTAAAGATGTTCTCTATGTATCATATCACTAGCGTACGACTAGAAAAGATAAAGACCAATTTAGTACTTAAAATATTCGCAACTCATTCCAAATAAAAATAAAAGAAAATGAAAAATAATTCACGTTAAAGAAAAAGAAAAAGTAGCGAAAAATACGTTATAATTACTTTCAAGCGGTACTGTAGATTATCATTCATCTTCTTTAGCAGTAATTTTTGGATGGTTACTCACCATTTTCGATAAAATTCTTTTTGGTATCGATTCATCCAATGTGAATATAAAATCTCTGTGAAGATTACATTTAGACTCGTCTTCGAATAAGACCTAAAACAACAACTCATTGAGCAAACAATTCTCTCGTATCATCACCATCAACAAAACTCACCACATACACACAAGTGTAAGTTTTCCCCATATAATCCGCATTGTAAATTTTCCCATCGGCCCATCTGACTTTCAATTTCTGCCCTTTGCGCGGACCGTTCGGCATATTTTCCACGCCAACCACGTCCGTCGGCGAAATGTCTTTGGAAAAACTCTGATCCTCCGGGAAGAACACGGCGTATTGCAACTCCGCTTTCACGTCTACCACTTTAGCGTGGTAATACCTGCCATTTCTATGTTTCGCCCACACCGTATCCTTTGTTTTGATAGTCTAAAAACGAATCATATTAAAATATTTTAGAAACTTCAGGTGGCTGGATACGTTAGACGTAAGAGGCCACGATATAAGAGTACTTACGCTATTTTTCACGTGCAAACTATCCGCTTCCTCGACCGCTTCTTCCTCCTCATCGCGATCTTCCAACGCTTTTTTACAGTCTTTCGTCAAGTGAATCGAGCTGACGTTGAACAGAGTCAATCCGGACGTCAAATACTTTTGCATATCCTCGCTGAAATTGTCCAAAACGTTCTCAGCGTTCACGTAGCACTCCAACGGCGTCATGAGCGCCCTCATATTGGCCAATTTCAAGCTCAAACCTTCGTTCATGAACCGCTGCTTGTATTTATCTATCATGAGTTTGGCCTTGTTCAATTGGAGCTGGTCTTCTTTGCACGGCCGCCCTAATTTACGAACGCCCAGTATAATTTCCGATAGAGAAAACCTTTTTTTATTGACAGATTTTTTGGGCCTTCCTCTACCCCTGGACGATTTGTTTTTCTTGAATTTCGTCCGCAGGTTTTCTTTAATATCTTCGTAATCGTCGTTGATCGGACAATTTTTTTTCGTTTGAACAGTTTGATTACTAACTTGCTTTTCCTTCAAGCATTCCTCGCAATCCGATTCGCATTCACTCGAACTAGTGTACTCGTCCGAGCTCGACGAACTGCCGGAATCTTCTTCGGATTCCTCTCCCGTAGTGTCCGGCTCGTTCAAACCAGGTTGTATAAGTTCTAAAGCCGTTATACTATCCGTTATCTCGTTCGGTTGGGCTTCGACGATCACTTTATTCGAATCCGCCTCGTTTCCCACATCGGCCCGCGGTATAGGCAAATTCGTAAGCGGGAAAAACCTATTCAGGTTGGTGTATGTCGTCTCCGAGCATCTGTACGTAGTGTAATACTTGTGGTTGCTCCATATCAAGTTCGGTTTGTGTTTCTTGGGCGGCAACGAGGTCTCCGCCTTCGCGGCCTTTTCGATACTTACGGAGTACATGTCCAGCAGGCCTTTGACCGCCTCGTCCCTGCGATCGATCTCGGTCAGGTTGACGGGCGTCGCGACGACGGGCGAGTCCAGCTTGGGCATGTCGTCGTGCTCGCAGAAGGGCTCCGGCGTCGAGAGCAGCGGCATCTGCTGCGACACCTGGCGGAGCTCCGTGAACTCGACCGTCGGTATGTTTCCGGCGCCTTTCGGAGACGATAAATTCAGCGCTCGAGGTTCCGCCGTTGTACTGTTAGCGGTGAAATTCCCCAGCGGAGCGTAGTTGTCGCTTTTGAATTGTATAACGCTCTGCGAACTGACCGTTTGCGGTACTATAAACGTTTTGGATCCCAAGTTTATGATCTTCGTTAGGTCCGGGTTCGATGCATTCGGTTGCCTGTTTACTATGTCCACTATGGTCGAGGCCGGCGGTCGGTTTCCGGTTGTCATCGGAGCGGTTTTCACTCTGATATCCTTCGGTAGAGACGAAATCGTTTTGGAAATACTGTTCGGTGAATTAATATTCGCGCTTTGCGGGCTTTTGGCGGGCTGTTGTTGCCTTTGATTTATGAAATCGAGGAAAGCGTTCTCGTATTTGTTGGGATTCGATGATACGGGTAAAATTTTCGAGTTTGCTATCATGGGAGTGGGTTCGACGACGGTTATAATTCCTTTAGACGTTTTTATAGTTTCGACTTTGTTGGCGGACACTTTTTTAGGTATTCTGTAGGCTTTTAGGTCTAGTTTAGGAGCGTATACTGCAGATTGCACGCCTTGTTGGGACGTGGAAGGTTCCGATAACATATCTGTGGATTCGCTGAGAAGTTTCTGTTTGTGTTCTTCAGCTGCTGCTCGAATGATATTGTCTATTTCATTCTTTGCTTGCGCCTGTTCTTTTACTTCAGGCTTATTTGGTTTATCTTCTGTTGGAATGCCGTTATTTTTAGTTTCGACATTCTGGTGTTTCCCTGTAAACAAACGTTAATTATCTATGTTTTAGAAGATTTAAGTAAGTATTTACGTTTTTTATGCTTCTTATGTTCATCGCCTTCTTTCTTTTTGTGCTTGTGTTTGTGTTTTTTAGCTTTTTGCATTAGGATTTCAGTCTCTTGCGCTATAAGATTCTTAACAAGTTCCGAAGTATCAACTGGCTCTTCGATGGGCTTTACAATTTTCCCGCAAACCTAAAAACACATTAAAAAATTACCAGTTTAAATAATTATCGCAGTATAAGTACTTTTTTATCTTTTCTATCACATGGCGCGTAAAGTCCCGTTAGTTCGTCCTTATCGTTATGCAAATGCTTCTTGGGCGACCAAGATCCATCGGAATTTTTCTTGTTTCTCTTATGGCGTTTCTTCTTTTGAAAATGCCTGCTTTTCTTCACGTTATAACCGTCGTCGCATATTTCCGCATCTTCCGCTTCTAAAAACCAACAAGTAAAAAGATTAATAATTTAATAATACGAAAAAATTGTATTAAATTTACCAATTTCGCCAGCTTTCAACCAAATGTCCTCGAGAACTTCCATTTGCTGTTCGTCAGGGGGCAATTCCTCCGAGCCGTAAGCCAAATTATCCTCTTCCATGAGTTCTAACTGAAGAGATGTAGGAAAATCGGCCAAGCTGAAACTTTGTTTATTAAAAAAATAATCATAAAACAATGTGTGTACTCTACGAATTCTACGGCTATCGTCATAACCAAAATCGTTAGCAAAACTTACTGGTTAAAGGCCATCATTCTTCCTTTCTTATTTTTCGTATTCTCCAAGTAAGACTGAGGCAAGGACGTGTTGTTTTTATTGCACAGGATATCCTGAGGCATGGGGATGGGAGCAGCTACGTTTCTGTTGGGTTCTTCGGGGTGAGGCCCTATATCTTCTCCCTTTAGCCACATTTCGTATCTACAAACACAAAATTTAACACATCTTAATACACGACTGAATATCGAAGTGTTTACCTGTCCGGTTGAAATCGTTTGACAAAAGTGTCCATCGAAATTTTCACCATGTCCTTGCTACAAGTGCATTGCGATGCCCTCTTTCCGTATTCGATCCATCGTTCCTGTGCAAAATTAGTCGATTCGGCGCAATTGAAACCGTGATTGAAACCGGCGTGATAACCATAAGGAAACGTGATCATTATTTCTCCAGCTTCTTGTGTAATCTGAATGACAATTAAATTTGTAATCACCGAAAAAATTGCGTAAGTTATGTAACTCGTACTTTGTTATACGGTATGGAATACTGCTTAAGAATTTGCGGCGAGATCAACGTCATTTTGTGCCGCAAAAAAGCCTGACACGTCTTATAAGAGCTGGGGAAAAATCCATTAGCTAACCTTTCCAAACGTCTACCGTGTTCCGGCGGAATAGAATACCTACAAATATAGATAATTAACAAAAATAAATTGAATAAAAGGTTTATTTTACCATGTTTTTGGAGCACCGAAATGCAAGTAATTAATAGAATACAGATCCATATCTTCCGTATGCCAAGCAAATGTTGTTTTCCACATGCCGAAATATAAATAAGCTGTATTAACCCCATCGATTGATATTCCATAATCTTCATTTACATAATCCAATATAGTTCCCAGTCTATTTATATTCCATTCCTGCAAACACAAATTAAGGTATTTTTTGTATTAATCATATAAGTAAATTCTACACTTTTAAGTGAATCATACACATTCCACTCGTTACGAAATAACATCTTACATTAACATCGTTATCGGTGAGACTGCCGCAAACATCAGCTCCGTAGATGGGGGCCACATACGTGATATTCTTCCAGTATTTCCTTTCTAAATCTTCGTAATCGAAGTGTCTAGGGGTGGCGTATCGACTGGAATTGGCGAGTTCTTTGTACTGTTTCACGGACATGGGTTTTTTCTGTATGTTGATCTGCTGGTACAAGCCTTGCTTGCCAGTAACGACCTGGCAAATCGGCGCGGGAATGGTGATGTCTATATCGTCGACGTTGTAACCGATTTTGCGGGGGACCCATTCGGGTGGTGGTATAACCTAAAATAACAAACGTTTCGAAATTATTTGGTGTTTTTTTATTATAAATGGCTTAATTTACCTTGGCTAGTCCAGCTCTGTGTGCCATTTTCGACTCCATGTGCTTCACATAGCTCGAAAAGTCCTTAAATTCCTCCCAAGTCGGTCGAAACACCATGATTCTGAAAATAAATAAACACGTTCACAATGTCACTTAATAAATTAAGTTAATCGACTCACTTTGGGATCCTGGGACTGCTGGGCTCCGCCATTGTGACACAATACGGTTTAATAAACAACCAGTGTTAATAATCAATCACTATTTAAAAATACACGTTAGTTTTTCATAATATTATGTTTGTAAAGTTTGTCAAGCGGCCATGATTGACACACTAAAAATCACGTAGGTAATTTTATACCAGTTTCTTACACGTTGTAGAAGATTACTTTATAATAAAATGGATTTCTAATGAAGAAAAGATTATTTAATTACGTACGACATTATCGAAAACCACTCAATCACTACATATTTTAATAAAATTTTACATTTTCAATAACATTTACCAACACCAATAAGTTTACCGGAGCAACGAATCATAGAATGGAGACTACGTTCATGGGATTGGTTGGGAGAATCAGGGAGAGGGTCGAGCTGTCAAAATTTGCGCATGCTTTTTACATATGAATGCATTTTTACAGAAAACAACAATAATTAGTTAATTTGCAGCATCTTTTGTTTCTTTGTTGAAATTGGCAACTGTTTTTCAATTTAATCCGTGTGAGATGCCCAAGGAGGCATATTTTTAAACGTTTTATTGTTAGTTGGGTATCCGTAGTAGGTCATAGTCGTAGTCCTATAATATGGCAACAGTGTACAATCACAATTGATTTGACAATGGCAGTTTTGACATTTTTGACAGAATGGAGGTTAATATTTAAATAACAAAATAAATAATATCGGAACTAATTTAATTCTAAATCGAATTTAAATTCGTTCAGAAATCAAACTCTAATTTAATCTGTCGTTATTGAATTAAAAAAAATCGACTTCGTTGCCGACTAGTGATAAAATGTACGAAAAATAGATTACTGTGTACTCTTTGATCAATACTTGTGATTGTTTAATTTACACACCATAAATTCACGTGAAACACTCCTTCGAAATGCGTCAACTTGTAGAAAATAGCCGGAATAATTAACCCTGGAAAATGTAACACACCCATTTAACGCGAATTAATTAGCCCATTAACTAACAAGGTTGCATTTTCTGAGGATTTCTCCTCTAGAAAGTGCCCAAAAATGGTCCGAGTAATATCCGTACATCATTTCGCGAACCAGCACATCCAAGTCGTGGAACAACCAACAGCATGCACTGTAGCACCACCGAATCGTTTACTCTCCGCTCTAATGAGCAACTGCGTGGAAGTCCGAGACCTCAGCAACGACTCGGAAGTGTTGTTCTCCTTTCCCACTGTCGATGAAGTAGTTCAAATAGTTCACTGCTTAAATGGTAAGTCGTGTTATCTATAAAATGTCCCTTAAATATGTTGTTTTGGTATCGAATAGGCGATTACGTGGCTACTTTGGAAACAAAGTTCAATCGTCAGAACAAAGAGATCAACTTCGTGAGGGTTTACATTAACTGGGACAGCATAGCAACGTTGCAACAATCGAAAATGACGAATAGCGGGGTTAGCCTGGGCTCCTCGGAATGCGGAATGGTGCAGCCCATGCGGGCCAGAATAGCCGGGAGAGTTACGCCTACTACGAATCAGTCGGAGTTGGGGAGCCTGGAGATGATCGAAGTGCCTGTGAAGAGGAACCCGAATTGCGTGGAGTGTTGCCAAGTTTCCGGGAATTTGCTTATTCTTTCAGGCAAAATTATAAACATACACACGTTCAAAATCAAGTCCCACGACATTTCTAAAATGAGGTTTATAGATTTCGAGGAGATGCCTATTTTGATTGAACTGTCGTTTAACCCCTATCAGGTGTCTTTTTGCGAAAATTACATCGCTTGCATGAGTAAAGATGCCTTTCATCTTTTCAAAATCGAAAATGTTAAAAAAGAATGCAATGATTTACATGCATGTACGGAGAGCGATTTTAATTACCTATGTAAGTTTTTATCTACAGATGAAATTCCTAGTTTCACTAACTAAATTTTAGATTCTAATAATGGTCCAATAGATTATAAGAAGATCTTAAAAGAAGAAATGTTGAACGTCTCTAAGGATAAAATTACAGTTAATTTGCCTAGTATAGTTAAAGAAAATAGTATAATTCACAAGAGCAGCCCTTTTACTTTCAGCGATGGAGACATTTCCGCAATAATTAAATCTTCAGGAATTCTGGAGGTAATTAGAGTACACTAATCACTAACCCTCGCTTATTTGCAATTTATTTTAGAACAAAAACGTACCATACAAAATAACAAACCTGATACAATTAAGGCTGATGCCTATTTTGATAGAAAGCGCACAACGACAAGTATCCGAAGAATTCAAAAGTATGGTGTTAAAGCCAATATACATCGACCAAAATCTAAACAAATCCTCATCCAAAACAGCACCAAGCAACTTTTTTAACAGCGATTTCGACAAATGCTTCAACAGCGTCGTTTGCATTATTGCTACACAACAAGAAGGATATTTGTATCACTTCGATAACAACGGTAACCACTACAATGTTTCGACAACTAATATTTACTCAACTCATCGCTATTTCAGACACTTGCACTGATAAAGACAACTGCATAGCAGTATATCCTTTCACAGCACCCGTATTTAAGCTAGTCATGGAGGATTATTTGCTGCACGCTCTAACAGAAACCGGCTTGGAATCGTACACATTGAGATACGGCCATCAGATGTGCAGGAATTTCGAACTAGTCGACAATATTAACGTGGTAATAACTCTTCGACTTACGCCTACAACGATTTGTTTATATAATTTAATTCGTAGGCTTGCCCGCTCGTGTCCGAATCCATTTGCTTGGTGGGACTCCGGCCGTTTCTAGGAGTAGAGCAAATTCTACTAACAGAAAACAACATGGTGCTCCTGGCGAATTCCGAGTCTTCCCCGGCGCATTCGGCCAGCTCGAATAGCAGCTCGAACGCCTCGTTTCTCACACTCTACAATCTCGAGTTGCCTTCGCCTAAGATGTTCTTCAACGATATTTCCATCGTAGCTAACGTGCACAGGTGATGATTTGTGTTTAAGCGTGTAGGTGATTGTTTAATTTCGTTGTGTTGTAGATTTACGTCTGTACAGACTTATTGTCATTTGATGAGCGAGGCTCACATGGTTTTGAGGGTGGTGTTGTTGGTGAAGAAATGGACGATGACTGAGGATAGTGTGAAGTTGATAATGCCTAAAAAAGGGAATAACGATGATGTTATAGAGACTTATCGAGTGTCTTGCGCGCTTTTGGGCGATCACTTTGTTATGTATGTTGATTTTTTTTTACTAATTAACGGAGTATTAATTGTAATTTGTAGGTCGAGTAACGAAGACGATTATAGTTTGGCTATACCTTATTATAAAATGGCCAGAGTACTACCAGCAGAAGTTTTAAAAAGGGTGAAAACTATACAAGATCAATCCAGAAATCATGTAAGTATTATATTAATTCGAAATTAATTTTATTGTGTATAATTCTCGCCTCTTATAGTCCACGAAAGGGTTAATATACTACCTTAAAAATACATTGCTGGATGTAAAAGCAGGACCGGACGCCGATAAAATATTCGGTTCGACTTCGAAGCAGAATTTCTCCGAGTCCATATTGCATTTGCTGGAGCACCACGGCTTCGAAGACCTGCCCAATTTGATTTTGAAAAGCAAAATATTCAGGGAGTACTCCACCGACAAATTGATTTATATACTAAACGAAAAAATGTTGGAGTGAGTATATAGTTCGACTATAATTCGTATTCTGTAGTGTATAATTGTAGGTTTCCTAAAACCTCCGAGAAACACTTAGCTCTGACGCTCCTTTATATCCAGAAATGCAACACTGACAAAGCCCAAGACTATTTGGACAAAATAACGAGAGATAATCTATGCTCGCTCATATTGGACAATTACGATTTGTTGTTCGAAACCACTTTCTGCGCTCAAAATAAAAACAAATCGGTCACCACCTTCTCCGAATTAGCCATATTACTCGTGAGCATTTGCCCCGAACTCTTATCCTCCGTATTCGTTAACCTGATGATGGAGAAGAGGGCGATCAATCTCAATAAAATCATCAAGGTATACTCTCACATTACATTAATCATCTATTTATTAACAGAATATTTTATTATTATTATTAGGTGTTTTTGGAGTACCTCCCATCGAGCATAGGCAGCGATAGCAGTTCCGCCACTCTCGTTCTACAAAAAACTTTAGAGATGTACTTCGAGCGATATTTCTCTAAACCCGAAAATTTGGATTTGAGCAAAGCCGTCTACGAAAGAGGCGCTAGCGACGCCTTGAAGCTTCTAGTAAGGTCCTATTTATCTCAGCTGCAGCTCATCCAGTTAAGAGACCAGGGCAATAGCGATGGGAAGAAACTTTCGTGAGTATAATCTAATGGAGAGAAAAATTTCATCAATGACTCCATTGTTTATAATAATGTGTAGTAAAAAATAACTTTATAGCTCCAACAAGACGGTAGAAAACGAGGTTCTTAGCGACGAAAATGACGATACGAACAAAGACCGGCACCAAGAGAAGCTGGGCTACAATCAAATAAACAAAACCTACTTTGAAGAATTCGTGAAGAAGCCGAAAGATTCGTTTCTCTTCTCCGGTTTGCGCTACGAGTACTTGGACAAAATGCCGCCGTTTCAGGTGGAAATAACGTCGAAATTGTACGAGGCTTGCATCGAAAATTACCCCGTTAAAGAGCAGTGGTCGCCCAACGACGAGGCCGATATTATTTTGAAGAAACTACAAGCGCTGCTCTGCAGTCAAATCGTACCTAAACATGTTATAGCCGAAGTAATTTCGATAGATTTAATAGATTCGTGGATTTAATAAGACGTGTTTTTAGGTCAATGCTTATCTAGATGTGAACAAATCGCTTAGAGGCAACGAGAGTTTATTATCTATTACGATGTTAACTAATGATGCTACTTTATTGCTGCTAGATTCCTGTCCTCAGTGTCTTCTGCAATACGGAAAGGTAAATTAATAGGATATTTATCACACATTATACATTCGTAATTACAGGACAGATTCACCAAAACCGACGAATGGAAATTCCTAGTAGCTACCATACAGCGAAGAATCCTGAAGTTATCCCAAACCGAAAACCTGAAGAGGGTGTGCTTCTTCCACAAGAAAATCCTCAAAGGTGCTCTACTACTCTTCGTAACTCACACACGATTTATTCTGTATATTCAATTCGCAGATATACTCACGTACGTGGCCTCTAACATGCCGCTCGATCAGCTAGCGCAGGTGTTTCCGCAGCGGTTCAGTGTGAAGAGGCAGGAATCGGGCGAGAAATCGGAGAGCGGTTGCTCGGATGAAGAGCTAGATGTGTTGAGGGAGATCCAGAACTACGACCAGTATGTTACCATTTGCAAGGAGACCATGCACGCGAACCAGATCAGCAAGCTCATCACCACCACCGGGCAACAGTTGTTGTGCTCGCTGAATTTGTAATGAGTGGGATTTTGAGTAGAAAAAGGGATTGTGTTTCGTGTGAAGTTAGGCTGTTTTGGGGGTGAGATTTTATAGACTTACGGGTGGTTTATGTTTTTGCGATTTTAGATGTTTTAAACAATAAATAAATGAGATTTTTAGGTGATGTAGGATTTTTTAGAATCTCGTAAATTAAGCTTTTTATATGATTTTTTTATGGTACAATTTTAGATACGCGACTGCTTTTTACACTATATTCAATTTCGTGAATAAAAACTAGGTAATAATTGATAATAATTTGTATTTATAGTGAAAATTATTGAAAATAAAAATCAAATTGATTGAGTTGTAAGCAGATAATATTTTTCATAGCTAGCTACTCTTGTAATTATTGTTTTATAATTTTGAACTGATTGAAATTTTATTGTTGAGATTTACCGTTAAATGTTTTTATATGTTTCTAGGACGCTTTTTATGAATGTGATATCTATTTGAAATATAGTTAAATGTTTAAAAAAATTTAATTTTCATACACCCTTAATTTATCCCTTAAAGTATCCACATTTATTCTCACTAAATTAGAAATTAAACAAAAAAAAATCAGTAAATAATTTTTAAAGTACACATTTTCGTTACACTGGTAATTGACGAATAATTTATAACCAAATTCTAAATCTAATTTACAATTACAAACGAAATTCGAAAAGAAAAACAATCAAAATCTTATTTTTTACATATAAATTTAAAAATAGCTTCCATCTAAATACAAATACATACAAATTTATCTACAAATAAATGTATCACTGGTGTTACATTGGTCCAATTCGCCTACCACTAATCAGTAAAAAATTAACTATTATCACATTACTTGGGCAACCCCACGGTCGCACATAACAGGTCAGGAAACTCCTGTGAAGTGCCTCCTAGCGGCAGTTGTAGGAACCCTATTTTATCTTCAAACAACTGAACACTTTTCCGACCTCAGTTTCCAAATCTTAGAAACATACGACCTTGCAACAAGCACAACACCCCCACTACCACAAATTACACCGAGTTTCCAAACATGTCTGTAAGACCTTGGGCAACCCCAACAACTAGTCCGCCTAGCACCCGAAATATTCATCAGTACCACCCGTAGAATGGTTGATGGTCGAACGCCTTGGGCGGCTGGTGCGCGTGATAACCGTGGATCCCATGCTGCATGCCGCCCTGGTGCGGGTAACCGCCCAAACTCTGCGCCAGCGGCTGGCCCAGCTGGGTCAATCCGCCCGGGATGGGCTGGTGATTGGGCAACGTGGGACTGAGGTTCCTGATCTGATGCGGCGACGCCATGCTCCACTGCGAGCCCAGGTGGTGCTCCGAGTTGGGCTCCTTGCACGGCCCGTCGTTGCTGTTGCTGTTTGCTGGAATCGACAGAAAATTTGCTATAGACACATCTTCTTAATCAGAGGAGTTTTAATTTGGTTAGTTCTAAAGAAGACCAATCATCCCGTTGTGTAGCTACACCAAGTGAGAATTTTTAAATCGATTAATCGCGAATTTACTCCAAAATTGACTCGAAGTGAAAGTATATTTCAACAATTTCGCAACACCCACAAAAAACTCCATTTTAATTACATGTTACGGTCTATCGACGTTGGTTCTCGACTCACTGGTCAACGCTTTTTTGCGCCACCATCAGCTGCCCATTCATGATGCACGTAACTCGGACATTATACAATATCTCCAACGCTTTTTTTTCTCTTTCGTTTTTAATTTTCAAGAAACCAACTGTTATCTAATCACCAGCGCAACACTCACCGCTGTTGGGCCCCAACATGGCGACGATTCCGCCGGAGGTGGGCGCCATGTTGGCGTACGGTTGCTGGCTCAGAGTCGGGCTGGACGGATGGTGCACGTTGTTGTTCTCGTTGCCCTCCTTGTACTCCCCCAGGTCGTGGTGCAGCAGGTTCTGGATCGAATTGGAGGCCATGGCGGGCGAGGTGGTGGCCTGCGCGTTGCCGGCCAGGCTGATGGCGGGCGCGACCGACTGCGATATGGGCATGAGGTTCGACGAGGAGTAAATCGGATGGGGCGCGTAGGGGTTGTGGTGCAGCGGGTGCTCCCATTTCACATCAGAAATGGGCAGGTTCGGCGACGTCGAGTGGTTCGAGTACAATTCAGTCACTGCGATAAACGAAATGAAGTTAATGAAAATTTAGTCGCGTGTAATTTCGCTTGTAATTTACTTTGCTTGCTGCTGGAAGCTGTGGCTGCTGACGTGGGGAAATTGTTTTCGCCCAAACCTTGTCCCAAGCTCGAGGCGTAGGGCGTGGTGGGTGCGCTGTAAGGGCCTCCGACGACGCCGAGAGTACTGTAGGAAGATGACGAGGACGATGATAATTGCTTTCGTAATCTCGCTCGCCTGTTGCTGAACCAAACCTGCGGAGAAAAGCGCGCTGTTGTAGCAGGTATAAGATCGCGATGAGCTGGGAAATAGTACCTGTATTCGGGCTTCGGTGAGCTTCGTTCTCTGGGCCAGTTCTTCTCTGGTGTAAATATCCGGGTACTGGGTCCTTTCGAAGGCTTTCTCCAATTCGTCCAGTTGGTGGGCGGTGAAGGTGGTCCTGGAGCGGCGCTGTTTGCGCTTCAATGGTATCCCGGGCTCGCTTTCGCAATCCGAACCCCCTTCATTATCAGTGGATTTGTCTGAAATACAGTTTAAACTCGTGTAGTTTTTGCGTTTTAAAAAATACCTATAGTTTAACTGTTCATGTTCGCCTATACCTATTGAATGCCTATATTCCCAATTACATTTAAAATAAGGAAATGTGAAAATGGAAACCGAACAGAAAGAAGCTATGCCCATAAAAGTTGTTTTACGATTAAAATATTAGCTATTGAATAACTTACTGAACCAATAAGTATTTATATTACACGGGTTTCTCTTTTTAACGAGTATTAGCCGGTAGACCACCAACATTCGCTCGTGCACTATACAAGGCGGTGCTCGATTTGTTACTCGATTTATTGTATACTTCCATTTGATATAAACTCGTAGTCTGTTGATGGAATTTTATTAGAAAAAATACATATTTTTGCTTTATTTAAGATGTTGTAGATTTAATTGGAATCTAAGCAAATAGAGATGTTGTTGTATAACTACATAACAATTTGATATAGTAGGTTTTAACGAGAAGAATTCTAAGATAATTACATCCTCGTTATAAGTACAAGTTATTTAGTAAGAACGACTTTTTCGCATTGCCTTGTAGACAAGTCCGATGTAGGATCGGTGATCATTGGCTCGATCATTTTAATTGCGTTATTTGCTTTCTTTTTACCATCAGAGAAGAATAATCCTCTGCGGTTCCGCGTCGTGGCTTCCACTGCAGGCTCATTCACCGTACAGAACCCGAAATGGCCGTCGCAAAATGGCTCAATATTTATGGTAAACTCGCTTTAATCTGGTAAGAACCACTGGCAACTGACTAGAACATTTTGTTAAGTACATAGGTACTACATTTTTGAGTAGTAGTATTTGGTAGATAAATATCATCAAGGGATACTATTAGAGAAATGATTGTATAATTAGTACCACGAGAGGATTTAAATCCAATAGTTATTGTATTCTTGTTTAGGTGAATTTAAAGCGAGTATAAAGTAGCTATTATTGTATCTCACCGGAAGAGGCTGTCAAGCGTTCGGAACGTTCCGGAATCATTTTTTAAAACAGCGAAAAGAAAAACACAACATAATAATAAATTCGACAAAGTAATAAGAAGTTCACGTCTAGTCGGGAACCGCCCGTCGAATTATCCACGGTATTATTATCTAGATCAGTTTCATCGTCGTCCGCAACAAAACGCACGACACTCCTGACATTTATTAATAACTTTCCGTGGAATTTTCAGCTTTTTCGAATTAAAAACGGCATAATTCAATAGAAAATGCATTCCGTGTTGCGTTGTTAACGTAATTACACATAAGTAGGGGACTCGGTAGGTGCAAAGAAAATGATTTATTAGGTCTTTTATGGCGTTGCGGGCCGACAGGTACGCCGCAGGTGGGGTCCATTCTTCTTCTAGACCTCCGATAATAACACTTTTGTTCAGAACTATTTTTTTCTCGCTAATTTAAAATAAATAAAGCGCCCGACGAATGCCACTTTTCGATCAGTCATCTCACCGTAATTATTTCATTCACTTTTGCACCGTATTCGCAAAATTACAAGTAATATTTCTGTTTATCCAGCGGTAGAAATTTTGGTACAATTCGATTGGAAAGAGCCGCGTTTCTACAGACTTCTTGTTTTTCATTGGGCCATAAATCAAAACGAAATGCGTGTCTCCCCGGCTTTCCTCCACGCAGATGCACTAATAGAAAAACCGCTTCGATTTTTTTTTAATTACCGTTGTTGTATCGGGTCGAGTCGAGGAAAAAAAGGTGTCAGATTACACAGCGCGGCGAGTTGAAAAGAGCGCTCTTAATAGTCCCCGAATGACGTAACAAATTGCCGAGGAGTCGTTTTCCTTTCGGGTTTTTGCTACCTATTTTTAGACCAAAGCCTGATCGATGGTCAGATCTCAGCTCGATCGCCGACCTTCCACTCCACTTCTTCGCAATCGTTACATCATTTTGGTAACCAAAATTGATCCTTCAATATAGCACGAGAGTAGTAAGTGATAAGAAATATTCTTACCGTCTCCATCGTAGTCGCCGCCTTTGCCCCTGAGCAGCCTGGAGATGGCGGACACGCTGGGGGCGCTGCTCCTGTCGCAGATCCCTTCTTTGATCAGCCTGTCGCGGATCTCCCAGCTGAATATGGACGGGTTCTCGCGCTTGTACTGCTCGATCCGCGTCTCCACTTCGGGCGTCGCGACGCGCGGCTTCGAGCCGCCTATCACCCCCGGCCGGATCGATCCGGTCTCCTGGAAAAATCCATCAACGGTCAATACGAAGTTAATCGATGGAAAGTTCAGAACTGGACATGTAGAAAATATTTGAAAGAGTATGTAACTGTGATTTCCAAGAATCGATATTGCAATTTTCGATTTTAATGGGTTTCTCGGTAGCCGTCGCGTTGCGATGGGAAGGGTCCCATGACGCGGGGCCTGCTCCTCGTAAATTTTCCTAATTATTATTTTATCAACAACTAGAGTCGTAAAAATTGTGATGTGGTAGGTAGGTACTGGGTACTTATCGCGTATACCTACAAGCGTTCGTTTGTAACGCCACATAAAAGTGGCTTTTTACGAGTTTAATCTTTTTTTATACCATTGAAACACCTGTGCATTTGGCAACCGAGAATGGGGCACGTAGGCGGTTTGCGCGATTTTTAATTTTGGCATCGGCTATTCGATTTAATCCGCGCGATCGAAATACTTTTTAATTTAATTTTAATTTTCGTCGGAAACTGGCATTCCTGCATCAATTTCTTACACAATTTACTTATACTCAATTGAATTGAATTTGAATCTTACCTGGTATCTGTTCAAGATTTTGCTAACGCATCCGTGGGACACCCTTAATTGTCTGGATATGACGCAGGGCCGGACTCCAGCCGCTGCCATTTCCACGATTTTCAGTCTTATGTGATTCGGCAGGGGCCTTCCGTTTATAAAGACGCCTCCCAGTTGATTGACACGTCCTTGACCTGCAATAATAAAAAATATTTTAATTTGCGACACCCTCCATAAAGCTCTGAATACGGGGTCTCTAAAAATGCAATAAGAATACTTCATCTGTTGTTACTGATGTAAAAAATAGAGCGAATATCTCAATAAAACTTTAACATTCATTAAATATTGAGACATAATACTAGATATTTATAAAGCCATCATTGTCCTCTTTTAGAATAAATTCTAAGGCATATTACATTCACAATTTTCCTTCTACAACATTTCAAAACCTAACCGAATAATTATTAACGAATCGATGAAATCTACCGATAGAAGACCAAAGCACTAATCGCATTCGCATGGATTTTCAGATTTCATAACGATAAATTAAAACGGCTCGCTCTTCTTCGCATTGTTCGGATGTCTTCAATGAAACAATTTCATTCAAAGCGCCGGTTCTACGATGTAAGTACACAGTAGCGAGTCGTTTTAAAAACTAATAACCTCTAGGCTAGCAGGCGAAGATAAATTGAGCTGTTCGAATTGGATTATTACGAGAATACCGATGGCGGCTTTAATTGCCGCGTAGAAATCCGAAACAATTAATTTTTTTCGTGCTGGGAACTTCGCCATCGGCGGACGCCTCGCCGTATAGAACGATTAAAAAATTAATTACGATTATGGCACCCGTAGGTTATGCTATACCTGTGTGTAGATATAATAGATGGGAAATCCTGTGGAAGATTTTCTGATTTTGATGTGTACAATGTACTGTATGAAAACGGATTCAATTTGTTCATTATAAGAAGGCAAAAATAATCATTATATTACAGATTGTGGAGGTAAAGAATTAATTAATTTACAACAGATATTTATATAACGACATAATTAGGAAGGATATAAATAGAAGAATTGTTACATTCTTTAAAGATCTTCAATTTTAAAATATGCTAAAATAAGTAGGTATTAAGTATAGGTAAATTTAAGATGAATCTAGCATATTTTTGGAATATAATAAGAAATCTTTTTGTGCAAGCCTTTTCATCGATATTTGTATATTGGTGTTTTTAAAAGTAGTTGATGGTTTCGATTGAACAATTTTTGTTTTCTTTGAACAAATTCCTGCTTGAATTGCTCCTCAATTCACTTTTATTCAGAATTCCGAGAAGAACTCGATTGCGGACCATCGAGCCCAAGAGGGAAAGTTTCGAAATCGTTATATTGCACTATTAAGTACTCCACTACAGCACAATAAAGATATATTTATGTAAAAAAACTCGACTCTATTTCCTGTAACTTTTAGTTAATTTTTTATAGAATAATAATACTTTTTTCATCGAGAATTACACTCCCTCGTGCATTTATTCGCAACAATAGCCACAATTCTACATACTCCTCATTCATCAGTTACAACAGCTACCGCATCTAAACCCTTTTCTCGGCGAAAACGGAAGCTCGAACCCATTCATCACGCACGCATCAGCTTCTTTACCACCATCTAATTGTAAAATCTTCGATGCACTTCAAACTGCAAGGACCGATTGGTCCCCCAAGACGTCCCCGATCGTTCTGCGACCCGACGGGTCGCCCTTCCAGCCGCAGTGCCTCGTTAATTCGGCCCTTTGATTGACGGCCCTCTATTATGTTGTGACATTTTTTGAGAAATGTAGAGTCCTCCGGCGGCTCAAACGATTTTCTCTATTTGATTTATGCTGTACAAAGTACAACACGATTTGATGATGTGAATGAAGATGTAGTTTGGTTTCTTTGTGAGCAGTAAATGGTGGTACTGAACTGACTTGTTTGTACACAATTGTTAATCATTAATCTTATTTCTGTATAAATGGGTTATTTATATTGAGTGATTATTAAGGTATGTAAATATGGATTCTATAAGTATTCAATTTTGAATGTTTTTCTAGTAAGAAATGTGGGGTATGTATTTCATTTTTGGTAGTACCTGTTAGTACTTAAATAATGCATTGTTATTACAATATGTATAGTTTCTAAAATTATTGCTGTAATTTACATTATAAGATGCCACAAGATACTACTTATAGGACCAGTAAAAATTATACAAAAAAGAGTCCTTAAATTGGAATCAACTGCTTCTAACTCTATTAAAAAAATATAAATAATTACCTTGAAAAGGATACCCGGAAAAACACGGCCGATGCATAATTCCAAAATTACCCGTAACAGTCATTTTATTCGTCAAATACTGAACCCAAAATCCACTACATATAACAACGGAATCGAAACGACAAACCGACGCGTCAGTCCCGGCAACAAATCCTGCGGGAAAACCGGCGGGTTCGCGGCGAATCGCAAGGAAATTCGATGGAAAATCGTCCGGGAAGAGATGAATCGAGAGGAGACGAGTCCAAACGCCAGCAGAGGATCTTGGACACTAATCCAAAATATTATGACCGGAGCTGGTGTTAGATATCCGAGGCTCCACCCAGCTCGACCCCGCCTCCTACGGTACCCGTTTTGCGTCGGTAGGCGAACGAACTGATAGTTTGATTACAGGGGATTATGGTAGATGATGGGTTTGGAGGTGTTAGTTGTTGGAAATTTCGTTTAAGTACCCTGTAATTTGGTTTAATAATATAGCCATTATTTTTATTATTTTCTCTAATAGAGCTAACTAATATGGATGTATAAGTATAGGTAGTACCGAGTTGGTGAGGGAAGAGTACTTTACACATTTGTAGATATTATTAAAAGTAACGTTAGTACTAACAAATTTTAATTATGCTATACAACAGCAATTAAATATTTTGGTCTTGTTTTTCTTCAGTTACAGGTACCATATAATAGTACCTACAGAAATTCAAATTTACTTACTATAGAGTAAATCTCAACACAAAGTAACATGTTTCTTAATAAATGTTGTTTGTTTTTATTCAAGAGTAAAAAAGAGACTTATAAAAAATAACAATTTTTAGATATCTTTAAGATACTATGTTGGAGTATACTTTATATTTTTGGACATTTAACTAAAATCACTGCAATATTCCATCAATTCCAACGTCTTTTAGTGAAAATTTACAAGGGTGCATTGTCCGGTTTCTGACTAGGATGCAATAAAACGGGGCCCGGACGGTAAAGATTTCTGGGCATGCACAAAACCATGATCGGCAATAAATAAATATGATTTTCGAAAAATGGATCCCCATTCAGATTTTATACAGTTTTACGATCGACTTTATTGCTAGAAAGTCAATGGGCATCGCATAGCATACGGAATTGCCTTCGCCTTTACAGAAAAACATCACTTATTGAGGATGAAATCGGAAAAACGGCTGCACGATTTGGGAACCGGGAACCGTTCGGTTTTACAGTGGTACCACGCGAACAAAAAATTTCGATTTTTATATGTTTACGGCCCTCCTTAACCTATACAATAAACCTTTCAGGTATTTTTTTTTGGAGTTTGAGATATGTAGTTTTAACGGAATATTTTTATAGCTTTAATGTCTCCACAATCATCAATTAATTAATTTTTCTTTCATCAACATAAGACAGTTCATGAAATCACCCTGTTTATAACACTTTTTTTTCTATATAAAAAGAAATAAAGCATTAAAATAAAACTGGAAATGAAGACGTTATTATACAAACACAAAATCAATTATACATTGTTCAACTTTCTTGGAACATTCCCCGGCCCTATTTTCAGTAGTTTAACGCCGAGAATAGAATAAATAGAGAGCATTACTTGCGGGAATTTTCTATCGGAACGCATCGATTACACGTGAAAAGCCGATACCATTGTAGCAACATTCTTTCCAACAATGGCGCATTTTTCCGCACTTTGATAGGTCATTTTGTGATGATTCCGTTCCGTTTTTACGAATACTCCGGTACCTCGGACTCAAATCGAATACACTTTATCGTGGAATACTCGAGGATGATATATTTACCATTTTGTTGTAACAATAGGAAAGGAATGTGAATTCTTGTATAAAGGATATGTTAATTTTATTGTTGATTGCATGGTTGTATACAGAATCGTTTAGAAAAGTTTTTTTGGCGTGGAAATTGATGGATTTCTTTATAGGTAAATGCTGGAGAGATAGGGAATTTTTGTATTAGGTAAATTATAGAACTAAACAAATTTATACATCAGAAATTGTTGTACACCATACATACTTGGTTAGAGTATACGAATTGTACAAAAATTTGTAAATTTTTTATCTTTTTTATTATATCTACGAATAAAAGATTTCACACGTTCCAAACTGGGAACCAGAGGCGTCTTGGATAATATAAAAATCCTATAAAAATGGTTCTTACAATGCATGGGATTAATTTATATCTCATTTTATTATAGGTATATATCTATACAGTTAGGCAGGAATAGCTGAGAGGGTAAATGAGCAATGGTTTATTTCATCTTACTGATGTGTAAAGTTAAGGTTGAATAATTTTATTATTGAATTGAATATGGTTCTAATATTCATGATGATCCGCCGCTGGCTGTTATAGAGGAATGGTCAGGCATTTCAATATCGTGTACTTCATGGTTTTCAAATTACCGCTTTTTCTTCTAAAAGCGTAAAGTCTACAAAACACACCGTCGATAATCGACGACATTTGAATTTAGTAAAAGTAAGTAAACCCGCTTAGAGATATTAGCGTGAGAACGGGGTTTTTTTTATTCTCCTGATGTTCTAGCCGGTATGTACCGCTGTGATATCGGAATTCAATCCGCCATTGGTACCGTCGAAACGCCTACATAGCCTGAGAACGGCGACGATCGTTTATTTACATGAACTGTTTGATTATTGAATTAAAAAGACGTGCAAAAAGCGACGGTTTCCGATTAGAATCCATGACGATTCTGCGGTCCAACGCGCTCCGTTCGATCCGTACCGATATTGAATATTTCAACTAATTTTAAAACGGATTATAGACAAACTCTCATGCATAGGTGAGCTTCGAAAATCAGGCGAAAATACGAATCTAATCAGTTTATTTTCCCAGCAAAAATTTACAGTTTATGCGGGTTCATATACAAAAAAGAAAGTAGGACTTTAATCTTCACAAAAGAAATAACAAATTAAACGTCCTATGGGTGAGATATTTATTAACGAACTTCTACATGTACTCAATTATTGAATTAACCCCAAAGTTCCGGCATGTATAAGGTCCCATAACTGCACGACATTTGGGTGGGCGACAAAAAACAATCGTGTGAAAAAACAACACATGGTCGACACAATATCGAATTTCAATTTTATTTTCTTTCTAGGTAGAAAGCAGGATCGTCATAATATATTTCTGAGTAAGTATAATATGCTCTTGCATCCCCTATACAAGTATTTCTCAATTAAAATTAAGGGAACTTGTAAGTTGAGTAATAGTGTCATTTGGTTATAGATTGACTGATTCAAAAATCTTGTTAATAAATTCTACAATTTTCATTTTCCTACAAATTTTCTTGACTAATACTAGCTCTTCTCCAGCTCTCATAATTAATCAAAAATGATGTAATATTTTCCACGCATCAACAAATTTCCTCAACTACAGCATCTTCTGGTATAATTTTAAATAAGGTGCCGAATCGGGCGCTTCATAAGAGGTCCCGAATCCGGTCCTGGATTCCAACGCCCGTCCGATAATAGGTACCATATGTGTGCTGGGTAGAGCGCAGCCCGCGCGAGTCTGAATAAAATAATCGTGGAAAAACACGTCGGAATGGGTCCGCGCGAAACGCGGCGGAACATTCGTCGGAGCCCGGAGAGACACCTAACTATTGGGGGATTCCTCGAATCCAATGGTAGACCGCGGATTAGTTCTGGGCGGAGAAAGACAGATACACGCATTCCGGCGGGTTTTACTCTTCGACCGCTGAAATATTATTCTACCATTTTTTTGCGAAAAATTACGCGTTTTTTAACGAAAATAAAATATAGAGGTATAGGTCGGTAAATTATGGTGGAGATAAGTTAATTAAAAAGGGATGTTATGGAGTAGAAGGTTGTTGGTAGGTACTTACTAATTTGTTTACTATGTTAGGGTTTTGTAGGTTTAATTTTTTTTCTATAAATGTAGATGGAATTTGAAGGTAATCCTACATTTAGAAAAAGGTTGAGTTATATGTAACCAATGTGGTTAAGAATTAAGCTATGAGAGAATCAGAATCCGACATAACCAATTTTTATTAGGATATAACCAATAATTGACTATTAAATTAGTAATATACGATGTATTCCTTAAAATAAAATGTTGATTAAAAATAAAAATACTTATATATTTATTGCCACTATTAATGATATCAACACAACTACACCAGGTTATTAACAAACTTTTTTAGGTTTTTTTATGAACTCGATAGATTAATAATAAATACACTAATATTTATTATAAAACCAACCTGAATTTATTTTTAATCAACTCTCAATTGTATTTACCTAATAATTATATTAGGTTCATTTATACAGGATGACTTGTATTGCTACTTTTATATTTAGGTTAGGTTTCAGTAAAATCAGTTCTAATTTCGGTTTTAACTGATTTTACTGAAAACTATCCCAAAAATATAAAAGTAGAAATACAAGTCATCCTGTAAATAAAACGGGAAAATAAGAATTGTTGCAAATGAAAAATGCTTAATAAAGGTATTTGAAAATATTTATTGAACTTAAGTTATTAATTGAGGTACATTAACAAGAACAATAGAACAAAAATAAGGGTCGAGAACGGTAAGGGTCGAAAGTCTTGTGAAGTAGATGCAGAACTAGTAGATGCAGTCTTCCTAAACAAAAACCAAAAGAAAACTTATTTCAGAATAGGAAAAAACGCAATACCTTACAAATTAATTATTTCTCCTTCGGTCAAGAAGACAAAATTTTTCTCCTCTGATTGGACAAATTTCTTCGAAATACTGTTCGTCGTGAACTAGCATGCAGCTCCAATTCTGCCATGTTCTTGATTGAATTAACTGCAATGAAATAAAAACCGTTACAAAAATAAAAAAAGCTAAGAATTAATGTTTACTTACAAATAAAGGAATTGAACTTTCCAATCCTAAATCCTCCACAAATTTGTTTTTCAGTCTCTCATGAGCTCCGGTTCCTGTCATTTTTGTTGTTGTGATTAAATAATGCAATCAGAACAAATTCATTACTAACCTGCATAGTAGTATCCTTTACAGAAGCACTTTTACACAATTATGTAACAAACAATTAAATACAAGCAAAATTCTTGCACTACAAAAATGTTACTACCGGCGACCGGCCTGATGGTTGCAGGAATTTTGGGAAACGGTACGGTTAGTACGGCGTGGCGTACGGTACAGCATCCATCAAAACAAATAGAACAATAGCCAACAAAGCCAGTGAAATTAGGCGGACTACGTCCATATATTAGATATTAATCAATAAATATT